TGATTGATGAAAATCACTGAATCAGACAGAGCTAATGCATGGATATATATCAAGCAGAGGTCCGCTGCGCCATGTGGGTAGCTCCCTGGCTGATGATCTAACTCATGCTGCAGTCGCTGCAAATAGCTTCATAAGTTGAGTCTTAACCCCATGGCCACCAGGGAGGCCCTGTTTTCATTTCCTCATAGTAGATTCCTAAGGATGAAATCTCTGGGTTGTCTGGTAAATTTCTGTTGAGTTTTTTTAATGAAACTGCCAAACTTTTCCAAATTGTTAAACATTTTCCATTGCTACCCATGAATGGTTCTGGGTAGGTTCTGCTCTCTGCGCATCCCTGCCCACACTTGTTCTTATTTGTGTTTACTGTCTTGTTCCTTACTGTCTTTTAAAGATTGTAACCATTCTAATAGGTGCCTGAGAGTATCTCCCGATGGTTTAAATTTGCATTCTGTCATAAAAAATGATGATGAGCATCTTTTTGAAATTTGTAAAGCTATAAATTAAAACCTGCTTTATACAGATTACTATGTAATGGTGGATGGAATAGCAAAATAGTACTGTATCTTAGATTTGCCCAGCCACCTCTAAAACAGTCTAAATTATTTTTATAAATGCCCATCATTTTCATGATACTCATCAAAAAGCACACCAGTTTTTCACCAGCAATTCTACAAAAATGAGTCATACAGTTGTGATTCACATTCTGCAGCAAGATAGAAAATTCTCCATGTGGTGTTTCTGTATGGGGCAGCTTTCTCTTACTGTAATATATTGTCTTCTTATCACAAAAAAAAGTGGTAAACTGCTCAAACAAAAAGCCTCTGTGAGTTGTTGATCAATCAAAATCTAAAATAAAATAGTGGGAAATTTTTAGCAGAGTTCAGTAGTGAGCACAGACAAGAGCAGTAACACATGCCCAGGGGAGGTCACCCAGAGACCGAGGTCAAAGGGCAGGGGCCGACTCACTGCTGGGAAGCTGGCTGATATGGCAGGTAGTTTCCATTCTCAGGTCTGACTGTGGTAAAGGGTGAGATGAATCCTAGAGCTTGGTGACAACCTTAGTACATTCCTGGAACTTTCTTCGAACCTACAGAAACAAGCTCTTAAACTTCCTTCTCTAGGATTTTAAGGGATTGAGTGATCCAGGTCTCTTTTCACATCCCATTTCTTGATGAAGTCAGCTCTTCAATCCCACTATAAAGCCCCAACTCAGGAGAACTCAGATCTCATAGACCGAGGTCCCTCACTGGGCACAGCTGTCTCTCTGAGTTCTAAGAATGTAAAGATCTCAAAGGAAAGAATGGCCTTTTTGGTAGCCTCGCTTTTTTCCTCTAGAATTTGGCCCATGTACCCCTCTCCCCAGTTCTTCAATTACTTTCCGGCTGGAGGAGACCTAACATATGCAAGGCAGGCTTGTAAAAACCATGGTCTGGGGCCTCCGTGGCTTAAGGGGTTAGGATGCAACCTATGAAGCAGTCCACAGCCTCTGCAGCACGAGTTTAATCCCTGGATGGCCAGGGAGCAACCAACATGGAGCGGCAGACCTCTCCTGACTCATCCGCTGCTCCCCTCTGCAGTGGGTTTCAGTCAGTCTGCCTGTTCTGTTCCTCACTCTGTCTCTGGTGAATCCTCTCACCGCCCCCCCCCCGCCCCCACACACACACCTCTAGCCTGTACCTCAGCTCTTGTGTGCATAAATAAATAAATCTTTAAAAAAACAAACAAACCATGATCGGCTTCCATTCCCTGACAGACTGTGGATATGAGCCCTTCTTCTGCCCACCAAGAGCCATCTGAAAATGAGCAAAGCTGTGTTTTTCCTAATGCCTCAAACTGGAAACTAACTAACACGCAGCAGGCAAACAAGATCCGCAGTGCTGGAGGAGGGAGCCCCAGGGATGGTCCTGGGCAACTGTTGTGGTCCCATCGTGATCCGGTGCTGTTTACAGAAGCGTGTTAATTTTGCAAAGATACATCAAGCTTACATTATATGTCGTTTTCCATAGTATATTATTCTTCAATAAAACATTTACATTGAAAATTATCCTCAAGGGTGGGCCTCCTAGGCGGCGCAGCGGTTGAGCGCTGGGCCGCGAAGCTTCCCGCAGCCTCTGCAGCGCCAGTTCGATCCCCGGCCGCCAGCGAGGGTCTCACATGGCGCGCAGACCTCTCCTGCCGCCCGCTGCTCCCCTCAGCAGTGTACTTCGGTCCTTCTGCCTGCTCTGCTCCCCGCTCTGGCTCTGGTGAATTCTCTCACCCTTCCGCGCTTCTGACTGTACCCAGTGCTTGTATAAATAAATAAATAAATCTTTAAAAAAAAAAAAAATTATCCTCAAGGGAAGAAAGAATGGTTTTATTTTCCTAGTGTTAATATGTATAACAACATTGCTATGAAATTTCCTCTTCAAAAAATGTGCTCTTTAATATACTCATTGAGTAGGACTCCAGCTTATAAAGAAAAACAATCACCTTTCATATAGTTTCTGAAAGCAGTTTTATGCCTCTCTTTAAAATCTACCTAAAAATAGGGGCCCTCTGGTGGCGCAAGAAGTTAAGCACTGCACTATGAAGCAATCCACAGGCTCTGCAACATGAGTTCGATCCCTGGGCCTGCCAGGGAGCAACCCACAACCCACATGGTGCAGCACACCTCTCCTGTCTCACCCGCTGCTCCCCTCAGCAGTGGATTTCAGTGGATCCGCCTGTTCTGTTCCCCACTCTGTCTCTGGTGAATCCTCTCACCCCCCGCATCTCTGGCCTCTACCCCAGCTCTTGTATGCATAAATAAATAAATCTTTAAAAAAAAAATCTAGCTAAAAATAAAGTTTCCAATTCCTTAGTATGACACCCACCAGAGTTTATGCCTAAGTGCTGAGAACACATTCACTTGTTGGTGGCACATTTATATTTTTACAGCCTTTCTTAATAGCAAACACTATGTTCTCCCACTTAAAGCTAATACTGAAAATGGGCTGTAAGTCACTCGGCAGAATTTTCCAGGGCGGGATGATGAGTTGGGTGGCCCCACTGAATTGGGCTTGGAATCCAGGAGCCCATGCCAAAGGGCCCTTGGCCCTTGTTGGGTGAGGAAAGAATTCAACTTTGAGACCAGAGTTAGGCGGAAAAGTAAGAGATTTACTGACAGATAAGAGGGAGGACAGGAAAGCCCTCAGAGCAGACAGGGGTCCCGAGTGGGGCAAGACGCTGTGTGGGGAGTGCGGGGTGGGGCTATCAACACTAGGTGTCTCTCTGTTTGTGTCTCTTGCTGCTTGGTGAAGACCAGCTGGCTCGCCCAGGTTACTTGGCCTGTTTTTCTGGACCGAGCTCTGGTCCATGGCCCTGGCATTGTGTGGGTTTTCTGAACACTCAGTTTTTGCTGAGTTGGGGCACCCTGACCCTACTCAGCCTGTACTGAGCCTAACTTCCTCATTCACTGCCAGCTCATCTATTGGGGAACTGTCTCTCTTGGCCAACAGCAGAAATTTGCAAGCAAGGGTTTGCTTATTCTCTTATTCAAAATGAATTTTACTTTTCACCAACAGAACTGAGTTTGATAGAAATCAAATTGGTAAAGGTTACAACTGAGCTGTGACCAAGGCCAAGGGTCTGGGCAGTGGCGGGGGTAGCCAGGGGAGGGTGCAGATATGCATGGGGAATATTGGAACTTCTGGATGTTTCATCCTGAAAATTAAAAACGATGATTGAGTTGAACATGTGTTTATTTAATATACAGGTTGACACTGGCAACCTCACTTGGCACCTACTCTGGGTGATAGACGGTACACAGGGTCTCATGTGACAGGACAGGGGTCGACTAACTCCAGGTGATGGGGTCACACATACTTTTTTGCTTCACCATATGGCTGGGCATGCGGGCCTAGCAAAGTGGATTTATAGGCTAAGTTATCCCATTGTGATTAAATTCACAGTAGGAAAAAGGACATTTAAAAAGTCCTACACATTAAAGCTGATTAAAATGGTAAACAGGAAACAATAAGGCAAGAAATTGAAGGTAATGCTATTGGAAAACTCAATAAAAATGTGGCTGGAGATTTGAAGAAATGGCGATTACAACAAATTACAGCGTGGGCAGTTTACTCTAGAACTGGCTGAAAGTACAAATGTTTTTAACATGTTTCAGCTTGTGGTATTTGTAAGAATCTGTCTCAATAACCACATTCATTAGGAGCTACCTTTTGTGAGTCATTAAAAGAAAGATATATCAGACAAGTCAGCCTGGATCATATATTACTTACTCAAAATGATATGTTTTATGGAAACCTGGCTAAGGCCTGGTTTGCTTTGATAGAAAGTTTAAGATTCAGGCCTCCCCTGGTGGCACAGGCAGTTGAGTGCCACGCTGTGAAGCTGGCCACAGCCTCTGCAGCACGAGTTCGATCCCAGCCGGCTGACGAGGGTCCCACATGACGCAGCAGACCTCTACTGTCTTGCCCGCTGCTCCCCTCAGCAGTGGATTTCATCAGTCTGCCTGTTCTGCTCCCCGCTCTGTCTCTGGTGAATCCTCTCACCCTCCCTCACATCTGGCCTGTACCCCGGTTCTTGTATAAATAAATAAATAAATCTTTAAAAAAAAAAAAGAAGAAAGTTTAAGATTCTAGAGGCCTCCTGGTGGCCTAGGGGTTAAGTCTCGGCACTATCATCGCTAAGGCCTCAGTTCAATCCCTGGCCAGGGAGTTAACCCACATATGATGTAGTAGATCTCTCCTGTCTCCCCCGCTGCTCCCCTCAGCAGTGTATTTCAGTAGATCTGCCCATTCTGCTCCCCACTCTGTCTCTGGCGAACACTCTCAGCCCCATCCCTGCACTTCTGGCCTACACCCCAGTTTTTCTATGCAAAAATAAATGAAATCTTAAAAAAAAAAGTTTAAGATTCTGGAGAAAAAGCAGAGGTAGCACCACTAGAAGATTTCTGTGAATGAATTACATCTAAAAAGTGTCTTTAACAAAAAAACATGATTATCAAAATATTTTTCTTTCAAAATATTTATTTCTAGTAGAAATGGACACACTAGACTATGTACAGGAACACATGTAAAAAACAGTTAAGAAAAAAACCCTTCAGGAATACAGTATTTGATCATCAAAATAGAAAAAACTCATAATAACTTCACATTAGATACTTTGTTTGAAAACACTGTTATCCTATTCAAGTACCAAGTTCAAGAGTCCCCAACTAAAGAGCAAAATATTCAGACACAGAAACTCCCACAATAATCGTGTACATTTTTATGCAGACCGAGCCCCTAAAAATCAATCTTTCTATTCCTGTTAACATTTATGGAAGTTATTGAGTGTTTTATTCATTTCTCATAAATACAAATTTTCCAGACACCCCTAGGCACCCACACCAACCCTTGGACACTATCTAATCAGTATTTTACAAATGCAGACGCAGCTACAGAAGGGACCTCAGGCCTGTGACCCTGTGCAAGTTAGTTCTAACTGATCACAATCCCATGTGGGACGCCAGCCTGCTCTTGTTTCTAGAATTCTCTGAAAGGTGTGCTCTGGCACACAGGGGAAGGAAAGGGAGGCGATGATTTCTTGCAAAAGTGGCCAGAGGCAGCTAAACAACCTGAACCCTGGACAGCCGAGGAGATGGCCGTTGGCGCTTGGCCGTGTGCCCAAGTGCACGGGCGTGACAAGACCCAGCCAGCCCTGGAGCCGCACGGTGGAAGCGCCCGCATCCTCACCGCCCAGGCCCCCACGTCCCGTGGGTCTCAGTCCCGCGTTAGCAGCCAGTCTTGGCCCTTCCCTCCCGGGCGGCTTTCCGCCTGTTGGTCCTGAAGGTCAGAGGGCTGCTCCGTTCCTTCCTCCTGCTCCTCCTCATCATCAGAATCAGACGCATCGTTGTAGAAGTGGATGGTCGCTTGCACCGGGAAGCTCGCCAGGACCTTCTCCCCCGAGCTCTGCAGGTATTCTTGACGCTTTGAAATGGGTAAATAAAGTCTAGTGTTTAAGAAAGAAACACATCGTTAATCTACTTGATGCCTCTCAGCCCCATCTACGGATCCCTTTCCCTGGAGGCAGCTGCCTCCCCACCTTCCTCTGGATTTGGCTTTCCCTGCACCCCACCTTTGCTTCAGCCACCAGAAGGGGAGACTGGGCAGAGGGAGTGACCAAGAAAGGCTGGGGAAATGGGCTGCAACGGGAGTGAGCAAGTCACCGTGGACAGCGCCAGACAGGTGCTTCCCTGGAGTAAAGGGCAACTCAGACGGCTAGTACCAAGATTAAGAGGCTCACTCTGACCAAATGGGGGGCCTGACTCATCCTGGTTGAGGCTCTAGTTAGGCCCCAGCGGCCCCAAACTTGGGCAAGGGTGTGACACACATTGGGCTCTGGAGGGAGCCTGGCTCTGACAGGAAGATCTAGAGAAGCAGCCGATTTTCTGGATGTCTCCCTAAAGAAGCTCTTTTTGTGGCCATAGAAAATGATAACCCCTGCGGCGTTTGTCAAGTCATGCTTGGAAAAACGACAGGAAAAAAAATGACTTAAATATATAACATTTGGAACCTCCACATTCCAACGTTTGTAGAATTTAAGTTTCAGTTTTACATGGAATTTATTTAAAAACACTTCCCTACTCTCCCCGTAATCTTTCATTCCTGTCCTTGGACTTCACTCACTGGCTCGCCTTTTTCCCTGCGGTCTTCATCGGAGGTGAGAGGGTTCATCATCTGATCACAGCCTGTTTGCGAAGCTGATTTCCACTGTCCCCTCCTTCAACAGCGGAGAAAGGACAGAGAAAGCGCCCTGCTCTAAAGCATGGATGATTATTCTGAACTTGTTAAGATTTCCAAAAGCCCAGTAATGCTAGAGACACTTTTGGTTGTCCCAACTCAGTGGGCATGCGGAGGGCAGAGGGAGGGATGCTGCTAAGCCCCCTTCTATGCCAGAACAGCCTCCACAGCAAAGAGGTGTCCCGCCCACAGTGTCAGGAGAGCTGAAGCTGATGTTGTCCGCAGCAGAGAGAATGCGCGTGGTGATCTAAGGCAGAAGCATCCGCATACTTCCCTGCTCACCATGTGCAAAATTAGGTGATCAGGTTTAAATATTCATGAGCCACATCGTAGGATGCCTGGATGTGCTTTGAACTGTCCTGACAGCAACAAAACATAACGATGGATGGGATGAGACCCAAAGCATATTGATAATTACTAAGCTGGGTGATGGGAACGTGGGGGGCTCTCAGGTCAGGCTCTCTACTTTGGTGGAGGTTGGAAAATTTCTATAATGAAAAGATACAAGAAACTTGTGTATTCCATTGGCAATGCAATTCCATGGTGCAGTCACTGCATTTTCAATGCATCAAAAACTGGGTAGCAGTGGTGCATCTATGTGAGGCAGGCTGGAGGGGAGGGGTGCAGGTGATCCCCCAGGACATGAGAGGGTGGCAGACAGACCTCAATCTCCACTGTACATTAGGGCCTCCTGGGGAGCCTCTAGGAACACAGACATCTAGGCCTTCCCAGAACAAGTTAGGCCGCCCCCCCTCCCCAGGGAGCAAGTTTTCCAGTGATCCTAGGGAAACTACAGACCCCCAACATAAGGAAAGCTCCCCTTTAAAAGGTTCACTCTTTGACCAGTCTGAGTGGCTCTAAATTTTATCCCCAGGTACCTTTGGGTTTACCTGGATAACTGGAGTAAAGATACTACGATGAGAGGGCCGGCAGAGATGAGGTTCATTTACATGAAGGAGAGATAGAGGCAGATGCAAGAAGTAGAGACAGGGAACTGAAAAACAGATAAAAATCCTGAGCAGGAGCCACTTGCCCAAATGGGTGAAATGCAAGAACAGGAGAGGCAGCGGTGAGGGGCCTGCTCACCTCCGGCCCTGGGGAGAGAGGCAGAGGTGTGGATGTGGGGATGGGGTGGGGAACAGCCACCCAGCGCATCATTTACTTAGTGCATATGCTTTGAATGTCTACTTGGTACTAAACAATATATTAGCTTATATCCTGGGACAGAAGGAAAGCGTAGAAATGTACCTAATGATTAAATAAATAAGCAGATACGCATACACAATTTATATGCAATTAAAATGAATGCCAGGCATTATATGTAAAGAGAAGTGTAAATGGTAAGGAGAAAAGCAGGGTAAGGAGAAAAGAAGTCAGTTCCAACTTGTCACTGAAACACTGAATGGATGATGAATGGATGGATAGATGGATGGAAGCATGGATGGATGGATTCCAGAAATCCAATAAAATATTCTTGATGTTCTTTGGGATAACAACTAAACAATATTGGTGAATATACTGATTTTTTTCCCATTCTGTTGAAAACATGGACACTTTAAGATGCTAAAATGTATTCATGTTTATTTTAAAAGGAAATTTGGGGCCTCCCTGGTGGCACAAGGGGTTAAGACATAACCTATGATGCTATCAGAAGCCACTGCAGCATGAGTTCGATCCCCAGCCAGGGAGCTACCCACATGGCATGGCAGACCTCTCCTGTCTTGCCCGCTGCTCCCCTCAGCAGTGTATTTCAGTCAGTCTGCCTGTTCTGTTCTCCACTCTGCCTCTGGTGAACCCTCTCCCCCCCCACCACCGCACCTCTGGCCTGTACCCCAATTATTGTATGCATAAATAAATAAATCTTAAAAAAATAAAAGGAAATTTGCTACTCCATATTTGGAGCTTACCTTACAGGATGCTGAAAGCCAAAGGCCCCCTTGGGTCTGGACGTGTGCTGGTCAGCTCCAGGCTCATGCTGTAAAGACAGACGCACAGACACAGTCAAGGAGCCTTTCAAGATGGCATCCTGAAGCTTTAAAGAATAAAATTGAAGTCATCAGCCCTTGTTTGTATCTGCATCAGTGCTAGGGACAGTTCAACAGGATCTGATAAGCCCCTCTTCTGTTACTGCTGCGAGTGACTCAAAGATGGAGCCATGAGCCTGGCATGCCCCTCAGTGCAGGCATCTTAAATCCAATGGCAGAGACATACATATATGCAAATGACTACACCCCAAAGCGCCATCTGATAAATGCTAAGGATCCTAAGTGGGAAGCAGATAGGAAAGGGTTGGGATGGGGGAGCAATTTAGACTGTTCCTGGTGGAAGGCAGCAGCCAGCTCCAAGGGGCAGGAAAATGGAGGTAGGGACAGGTGAAGAGCCCAGTGCTGGATGAATGAGGTTGCACAGGTCAAGGGGAGGCCCGTGCCCATTATGGATGCTTCCAGTGCCCGCTGTTGGGTCAAGGCTTCAGGGACATTGCACAATGTCATTTCATTGATGAGAAAATAACAGTAGGTTCCTGGCTGGGGCTGCTGTCAGTGTGGAGTCTGCACATCCTCCCCATGCCTGTGTGAGTGCTCTCCAGAGATGTGCACGTGAGGTGCATTGGTGTGTCTCAGTGGGCCCAGCTGGATGAGTGTGGGTGGGACCTGCCCTGGGACCGAAGGGCGTCCTGGCGAAGATGGGTCCCACTTGCACCCTGAGCTGCAGAAAGAGGCTCCAACACTTCTCACCTTGAACTAAAATAAGTGGGTTGGAAAAGGAATGAATAACTGAATGGAGATAAGCAATAGTTGAATATTAGAAGTGCTTGGGGTCTTTTTAGCAGTTTGGTGATGTTTTGTGATCAGAAATAGGAACTTGGGGCCTCCCTGGTGGCACAAGGGATTAAGACGCAGCACTCTGAAGCTATCCACAGCCTCTGCAGCACGAGTTCGATCCCCGGCCAGGGAGATACCCACATGGCGCAACAGACCTCTCTTGTCTCCTTGCTGCTCCCCTCAGCAGTGTCCTCGGTCCGTCTGCCTGTTCTGCTCCCTGCTCTGTCTCTGGTGAATTCTCTCACCCTCCCGTGCCTCTGACCTGTACCCCAGTTCTTGTATAAATAAATAAATTTTTATAAAAAAAAAAAGAAAAAGAAAAAAAGAAATGTACAGCCAGGCTCCAGAACCGAGGCAATCTCCTGCTTGGGCGGGAGAGGGCGCTGTTCAGCAAGCAGCGTTTCCTCTCTGCGCCCCGCGGCGTGCAACTTGAGGGGGTTCCCGGGATCCCCGCGCCGACGCGAGGCTGCGGTCCCCCGCCGCTCACCGCTCCGCCCAACCCTGCAAAGATCTGGCCCCGGGGAATCCGCGCAGCGAGTGCCACAGCCCCCACGGAACACCCCCCCTTTACCCTGCACCCCCAAATCGATGAACAGAACTGTTTCACCCAGTGTACCCAGCTGACTATCAGCTGGAAAGTGGCTACAGTTCAACACTTTTCTGCAAGTAACCTTCATTTTTCTCACAAATGATCTCAAACAATAGGGAGTAAAGCCACCTGCCTTAGACTAAAAAGTGTGTTACAGAATTTGCATTCTTGCAATAACGTACAGGTTCCATACATTTCCTCTAAAAGAAAATCGGGTAATCATAAACTTCTATATTCTTTTTCTTCCTAAGGACCTTTTAAATCTTATGTTTAAGGACTTAAGTTTGAATGCAAAAGGAGAAATTACTTCCCACTATTGAGCTGTGGCATGTAAGAATAATTTGACATCTCCTTTGTCAATTTGACATAGATTTCTGGGGCCTCCCCGGTGGCGCAGCGGTTGAGCGCTGGGTTGCAAAGCTACCCACGGCCTCTGTGGCGCCGGTTCGATCCCCGGCTGCTCCTGCCTGCTCTGCTCCCCGCTCTGGCTCTGGTGAATTCTCTCACCCTCCCGCGCTTCTGACTGTACCCAGTGCATGTATAAACCAAAAACAAACAAACAAATAATAAATAAATAAGACATGCCTCTAGAAAATTAAAAAAAAAAAAAAAAACAACAATTTGACATAGATTTCATATTGCTTCAGTATTTAATAGTCATGGAATTTACGCTCCCATTATTCAGACCATTTACTGACATCACTATATCGTGAAGGGCCACTTTTCCACATCAGAATTTCTAAAATACAAATAACCGCACACTCAGGCATATACTAAGTGTGTAATTTAAATACAGGTGCTTCCCAGTGGGATTAATTCTTCGGAGTTGTCAAAGTCATTAATTCATATTCCAAAATACAACAAAGGAATGACAAATTCTATGCAACTTCAGTAAATATAAAGCAATTGAGTGACCGGTTCAGGAAACAAAAGAAGAGTGATCGCATTAATCTTCACCCACAAAGCCCTGGCTGGAGTGTATTTGCTCAGACAACACAAGTGGCCCCTGGGGGACTTGCAGACAGGCCCAAAGTGCTTCAGAAAGGGCCAGACGCCACTGGTAGGGGCTTTTAGCCACACCTTCTGCGCACCCCCAGACAGGTTCTGCTTTTATTTGCACTGTGGCTCCAGTCCAGCACTCATGCACACCCCACTTTTCTCCAAGGTCAGGGGGCCTGAGGAAACCTGGCATACTTTCCTTACCTGCTGGTCTGCTTGGGGTGGGGTGAAGTGGGGGGGCGACCCAAGAGAAAGCTCTCAGTATGCCTGTGAGGCAAGCCAGGGTGGCTTCGCCTTTCAAGAAGGGAGAAATAATCAGGAGCCCAGTCTATTGTGGTTCAAGCCTGAGCAACTGCTGGCTTCCCAGGATCCCACCCCCAAAGCCGAAGGAAAGCAGGGCTGGCCCACCGAGGCAGAGACAGGCTGCAGAGGCCTCTCAAGGCCATTTTCTTGCAGACAGTGCCACGTTCTGGCTGAGCTGGTTTTGATACTTATAACGTCTACATTTAACCTTACCCGGCTTCCAGTTCTGGTCGGTTGGGCATCTCGGGGGGTCGGGATCCAAGGTCTCCAAGGTGTGGGGCTGCAACTGCAGGGACCAAGAGCGTGAACCCCAGCACTTTTTAGTGTTTTAAAGTTACAGCATAAGACATCAGGCTTATCATTTCCAATGTCAGCCTGAAAACGCCGCTGGGCACCCCAGAATGCTCCATCTCTCAGCTGTGGATAAACCAGTGACATTTGTGTGGCTTTGTCTGGCCCATTTCTCTGCCTTCTTTTGGATTTTGAGAAGTCCTAAATTCCACACAATTTCAAGAGACATTAGTCGAGGGATTTCTCTCCCAGCTTAGCTGGATTCCTCGATTTAGATTCCCCACGATGGCTGGTTGCTTTTCACTGCGTAATTTCAACCGAGCCACCTCGGTTACCGGAGGATCTGCAAGCCGGCAGGATGCTCTGACAGGCCCTACCAAACAAATCCCTTTCTCCCCTTGGCCCCTTGGTCCCCTGGGTGACCAGGCGGTCACCCAGCCCCTTCCTACACTTCCCTGCTAAATCCATTTACTTAAAGATCAACGCCCTCAGGCAGGGCTGGTGCCCAAGGACAGCACAGCTGAGACCCAAGCACAAGGCCAGCAACTGCCATCGGGGTGCAGGCCAGGGGGCTCCCCCTGCAAGGTCAGCAGAGGGTCCCGGAGAGTCAGCTTTCCCAGTCGGGTGAATTTCAGACGCGTGTGCGGGAGATGTGGCCACTCCCTTGCCCCGCACCTCCTGCGCCTCTCAGAGCCCCTCAGAACCGGGGGGACCTTTGCGTCCCGGCCCTGGCTAAGGAACCTGCTCCGCGTGGCCGTCGGGCTCCGGGCCTCCGCGAGGGTTCTGGGGTTCGCGGGGCCGGGGCACCCCACGGGCTGTGCCCCCAGCACCCCCGCGCCGTGCGCTTCCCCGCGCGCTCCCCGGGCGGGGACACCTACCTGTCGGGCGCGCGCGGCGGCGATGGCCTTCGGGGCCCGTCCCGCGGGCGGGGACACGCGCGCCCCCGCGCCCCCCGGGCTCCGGCCGCCGCCTCGGGTCTCATGGTGCCGCGGAGCGCGCCCCGCCAGTGCGCCCCGACTCCGCCCGCCCGGGAGGGCGCCCCGCGCGCCGCGCGCCGGGTTTAAAGCCGGGGGCGGGGCGGGGCGCGGACTCGGGGCCCCGGGCGCGGGGCGGGCGCGCGGGGCGCCCCGGGGGGGCTCGGGGAACTGGACGGGCCGCGGGCCGCGAGATCGGGATCGCCGGGGAGGCTCGGGAAGCGGGGTCGGGTGGGGAGGCGGCAGAGGAAGCCCGGGAGGGGCGCCGGGGCGGGGTCCAGGAGCCGGGGGCCGCCGAGTCGGGGGGCGGCGCCGGCGGCCGCGCTCGCCCCGGGGTGCTGACTGCGGGCGCGGGCGGAGGCCCCCACCCCGTCGGGGGCGGCGGCAGAAGGGACCCCCGGCTTCTTCCCGAAGCTCTGCGGCCCCAGCACCCCTCCCTCCGGGCTCTTGTTTCTGCGCGAGCACCTGGGGCCCCGGGTTTCTCTACAACCTCCCGTCCGGCCCTTTCAGCGTCTGCTGGGTTTGGCGATGCGGGGGGCGGGGGTCGAGGGGAGCGGGGGAGCAGGGGGGCCGCCCACAGGAGCCTCCGACCCGCCTGGTCTTGGGTGCTGGCGCCCGGGGTGCCCCGAGGCCCGGCTCCACTCGTCGGACGGGAGCGCGGACAGAACAGCCAGAAGGGAACCCCGTTCTCATCCATGGGGGCCCTGGAAAAGCAGGAGATGCCCGAGGTGGAATTTTCCCCTGGTTCGCCACCCGTTGGGCTTAGAAAGCTCCTGGATGAGCCAGAACTGTGCCCTGAGCAGGCCCTGCGCGCCCCGGCGGGGGACGCTGTTTAATCAGTGTTGTCCCTGGGCAGGACCCTGAGGCAGAAAGTCTGGGCCCCCTCGAGCCCTGCATTTCAGAACTGGAGTTTACTTTCTGCAATTTAAATGAATGGGTACCCCCAAAATCAAAGAACTTCAGGAATTAAAATGTTTTCCACATTTTATTCTTTAAGAGCAACAGATTTTGCCAGTAATGCAACTTACAGGCTAAGAGAGGAAATTAATAGGTGACTTTTCTGTATAAAAGTGTATAAAATCGTTTAAAAAGACCCTGAGTAGAAGGGAGGTGTCCAGGGGGCAAAGATCAGTCACAGGCAGCATTGCCACGAGAAGATGCCGTGTTTAACCTGCCAACTCGAAAAGACTCTGGGCAGGAGCCCCAGCCATGCTGGGCCTTCAACAGGACTGTCTTGCAGGGGGCAGGTGGCAATGCAGTCAGGGTATCTTCCCGAGAAAGTATTACATGTGTCACAAATGGTCTCTTCTTCCAGTGATCTTACTTCTGTGCCTCCATTAAAGATGGCTTTCAAAATGTGAGTGAGGGGCCTCCCTGGTGGCGTAAGGGGTTAAGATGCAACCTATGAAGCTGTCCGCAGCCACTGCAGCACGAGTTCGATCCCCGGACTGGGAGGTGACCCACATGGCGCAGCAGACCTCTCCTGTCTCCCCACGGCTCCCCTCAGCGGTGTATTTCAGTCAATCCGCCTGTTCTGTTCCTCACTCTGTCTCTGGTAAATCCTCTCTCCCCCCACACCTCTGGCCTGTACCCCAGTTCTTGCATGCACGAATAAATAGATCTTTTATAAAAAATAAAAATAAAAATGTGAGTGAGCATGTAATTCATCACAGAGGTGTTTATTACAGCACTGTGTACAATGGTGTAATGTCTAAAATATGGTATTGATGCCCAGCTGTCTCTCAAAAAGATACAAAAGCACTAAATCGGAGGAAACCTGCACTCCTGTGATTATAGCAGCACTATTTACAATAGCCAAGCTATGGAAACAACCTAAATGACAAAACAGATGAGGTATATATATACACATTGGAATGTGGTATATATACATACACATTGGGATGTGACATATAAGAATAATGGAATACTACTCAGCCATAAAAAGAGGAACCCATACCATTTGGTGTTACCTACATGTGGAATGTAGAAAAAACGGTCAGACTAAGATAAACTTAAAAACCAACCCTTGAAAACTGAACGTGGATCTTAGGCTTTCAGAGTGTAACAGGGTGGTCCCCAGGAAAGGGGGAGGTTCCCTGCCCCACCCAAGGGAGGGTGGAGCTGAGCAGGAAGAGGAGAAGCTGCAGAAGATACTGAGGAAGGAAGCAGGATGGAGCCAGGAGACCTGGAAGAGGCGCATGGAGCCTAGAGACACGTGAAGAAACTGCGCTTGTCTTTGGTCGTGGACGAGGTGACACAGATGTGGGTGAGACCTGTGGGGAGGTGACAATGGCAGCTTTTATCTTGATGTTGATTTTGCTCTTTTCCTGCCGGGCTTGTCCGGTTGTTTGTGACCCTTTTCTGTGGGTCCCCACTGGAAGATGCTTTAGACTTGTAGCAGGCTTTGGGGCCTTGTTCTGGGCCGATCCCATATGGATGGACTTTTACCCACGAGGGGACGGGTAACTTTGGGTGCTTCATTTAGAAACTAGACTCTTTGCCTTACCTGTATTGTTTCCTAGTTTTATTAAAGATCCTTCCCATTAGTCTCATGTGTTTTGTGTTGATGCGGCGGATGGCAGAACCCATTTAGAATAGGCAGGTTTGCGGGGTTTGGGCTGCCCTTCTCCCTGTCCTATAACAAGAGTGGGAGAGAAAGGAGAGGGATGAAAACGGGAATGGGAGGTAGAACACAGTGGACTGTTGTGGACTGTGGGTGCTTTGGTGGAGGCAGGGCACGCGGACCACACCTTGGATTTGGAACCCTATACTGTCAAAACACTAACAAGGATGTAAAATAATATTACGCCAATAACAATTAAATACACATAGATATAAAACTATTTCACTTAAGTAAAATATGATAAAGAATAAATAAAATATGGGCCTCCATATTTTAAGTCTCAGTGCTATCAACTATCGATATCCACTGCAGCATGCATTCGATCCCCAGCCAGAGAGCTACTTACATGGCACAGCAGACTGCTGTCTCCCCGCTGCTCCCCTCAGCAGTGTGTTCCAGTAGATCCGCCTGTTCTGATCCCCACTCTCTCTAGTGAATCCTCTCACCCCCTGCACCTCTGGCCTGTACCCCAGTTCTTGTAACTATAAATAAATAAATTAAATCTTTAAAAAAGAATAAATAAAATATGACAATGATTAAATACATTTTATGGAATATCATGAAACTAATAAAAATGTTTACTGAACTTTGAACAGCAGGGAAAACACTGATAAAAGAACAAAATTATATGAATGGGGTCCATACTGTAGACAGAGACTACAAATGATAAAACAGAAGTGGTTGGTCTCTCAGTGTTGGGGTTACTAAGAATTTTAAACATTTATTTTTTTTAAAGATTTATTTATTTATGTATACAAGAACTGGGGTACAGGCCAGAGGTGTGGGGGGGTGACAGGAATCACCAGAGACAGAGTGGGGAACAGAACAGGCAGACTGACTGAAATACACTGCTGAGGGGAGCAGAGGGCGAGACAGGAGAGGTCTGCTGTGCCATGTGGGTTGCTCCCTGGCCCGCAGCTGTGGATTGCTTCATAGTGGGGTGCTTAACCCCTTGTGCCACCAGGGAGGCCCAGAATTTTAAACACTTAAAAGAAAATAGATCAGTGGTTACCTGAGGGGCTAGGGATGGGGAAAATGAGGTACAAACTTCCAGTTACAAAGTAAGGAAGTCAAGAAATTAGAACATACAGCAAGCATACAATAATCAAGTATATAGTATTTGAAAGGTTCAGCGCGGTAAAGACAAGGAGAGCCAGGCTACATTTCTCAAAGGGAGGGAAAGTTTATTGTGCCCCGGGCGGACCTCACAGACCCAAGGCGGGGGTCAGTGGAGTCGCGCACGTTGTTAGGGGGAAGCAGGGTTTTATAGGGCGAGGAGAGGTCAGGTGGGTAGTTGGGCTCGAATGGCGGGAAAAGTTCGTAGGGCAGGTAGAGGTTCTTTGTCTGAGATGAGACTCATAGGGGGAGGGGGGAGGCTCATCGTCTGAGTCCTCCAGGCAGGTATCCGCATTCCTGCCCCCCAGGTGGGCTTCCGGGTAGGCTCCTGCATTCTGGCCTGCTGCATGGACCTTTCAGTATTGTTATAGGGCAGCCCCGATATTGAACGGGTTGCCTGGCTGTGGGTCCTCACCCACGTGCTTACAAGGGACTTATGAATACTCCACGACAGGCACACACAGAAGGTTCATAAAAGGTTTATTTACAAGGGAAAAGGAAAGAAGGAAAATGGACAACTCAGGGAGAAAATAGGGAAATAAAGTCTTTAATGCGTCCTACCCGATCTGCCGACCTGGAAACCCAAAAAGCACTCTCCAAGCTGGCCAGACGCTGCAAGCTGGCGGAGAGTCAAAATGGGGGGCCCCCTCCAAAGCCCACGTGTCTGGCTTTATACCAACCTGGCTGCTGAACCCCACCCTCAGGTCCCAGCCACCTTCCCTTTGGTGGTGACGGGATGTGGAGTTCCCAGTGTCTTTGGCTTTGGCCTGGGGTGGGGGTAGGGGTGGAGTCCACAAAGCCTGCATGGAATTAGCTTTAGGACATCCTTTTCCCCCTAACAGTATTACAAATTTGAAAGTTGTTAAGAGATGATAAATAGACTTATTGGGGGTGATCATTTTCCAAAGTATACAAAAGTGATTAGGTTGTACTGCTGAAGTTAAAATAACATATGCCAAATATACTTCAATCAAATGGGCAAAAAAGGCAAGTCTCCTGAACAGAAGCGTTCTGAATAACTGAGGCACACACTCTGTTCTCAAGAAGGGGGAATTAACACAACAAGCCATAACAAAACCAATAATTATGCATGTTTTTAATGAAGTGCATTTAATGGAATATAAATTCATGGTAATATATAATAAGGGATTTTTAAAAAAGTCATTTTTCTGCAGGTAGTGGGATTAAAACACAGTAAAAGAAATAAATTGCTTCTGAAGTGGTTGGGAATGCAAAGGGCTTTTGTTACTAAGCATGTTATAGTTATTT